TGAGGTGGGGATCTTGTTTAATTCTTCTGCAGATAGTTTTCCAATTTTGCCAACAGCATTTGTTAAAAAGGCTGTCATTTCCCCACCTAACTGATTTCATCTCTTTGTCAAAAATCAGTTGACCATAAAATACATAGATGGGCTGATTTCCAGGTTCTCAATTCTATTCCATTGATCTATGTGTCTGTGGTACTAATACTTTTAGTGTTAGTTTCCATATTTATAAAAGAGCCATAATAAAAATTAAAAGAATTTGCCATGACTTAATACATAATAATGATACCAATGTTGGATTTAGAGCTAAATATCTCAGTCTTAAATTTAGACTACTTAATCTTCATCCACCATATTTACCTACATAAAATTTTTAAGTTACCTGCATTTTTAATATTGGCAAGACAGGAGAACTTAGACATAGGAATTGACTTTGTATTACTTTCATTGGTGGCCTGGTTTTTTAGAATTTTTTTAGTAAAATTTGTGTCACTAAATAATACCCTTCCCCCATTTTTTCTTCTCCAGGAAAATCTAACGTAATGGATGCACTTAGTTTTGTAATGGGGGAAAAACCGGCTAATTTAAGAGTAAAACATCTTCAAGAACTTATTCATGGAGCACATATTGGAAAACCTGTTTCTTCTTCTGCAAGTGTGAAAATTGTCTATGTGGAAGATAGTGGAGAAGAAAAAACATTTGCAAGAATTATTCGAGGTATTTATATGGATTTTGTTTTGAGCTATTTGATTTTTCCAAAAGGTTACCCTATTTTTCTTTGAAAGGTATGAGTGATTATTCTACGGCATAATGAAAAAGATATTTCCCCTCTTTGTTGGTATTGGGTACTGTTGAGTCAAAACGAACCCTTAGTTTACCTTTCAGTGGATTTTCAGAGGCATTTAATCACACCAGAGGAGATTGCCATTCCTTCTCCTGTGGAGCAGCTTATGGATTCAAACCACTCAAAAGTGGGTCTCAAATCCTTTTGAACAAGAATTCTTCACTAAAACTTCTTAGGCAGACATTTTTAATATCTCTGTTTCAGTCTATATGTAGAACAGATCATCTGAGAGGCTGGGCTCTATGAAGAGGAATGTGGCATCAGGATTGGAGGACTCATCAGCAATCTGTGTTACGCAGATGGCACAGTCTTGCTTACCAAGATTGAGGAGGACCTAAGGCATTTGTTGCAGAAAGTCAAAGATTCAATATGGATTGAAGCTCAACATCAAGAAAACAAGGATTCTTGCCACTGGGCTGATTGGTAGCTTCATGATAGATGATGAAGAGATTGAGATTATTAGCAGTTTCAGTTTGGTTGGCTCCACGAACAGTACTCTTGGTACCAGCAGCCAAGAAATTAAAAGACAAATTGCGTTGGGAAAATCTGTTGTCAGGGATCTCACTTGAGTACTGAAGAGCAAAAATGTCAGTCTAAAGAGTAAGATGCCCCTGATCTAGGCGATGGTCTTTGCAGTTACTTACTAAGCATCAGAAAGCTGGGCTGGACAATGACTAAAGATGATATAAGAATTGATGCCTTTGAGTTGTGATGCTGGAGACGACTATCGAATAAAAAGTGGACTGCTAGAAAAACAAACAGGTTCATCCTTGAGAGGAAGAAACCAGGCTGCCCCTTCTTGTGAAGCTTCGTCTGATAATCTCTGGACATGTTACAAGGAAGGGCCAGTCCTTGGAGGGAGACATGCTTGGAAAAGTGGATGGACCCTGGATGAGATAGGTTGACTCAGTGACTGTGGTAATGAGGATAGGTGTGTCAGAAACAGTGGAGTTGGCTGAGGCTAGAGGAGGGTTCAGAGCTATTGTACATAGCATCACTCAGTCACTAGCAACTGAAAGCATATAACATTCTTTTTTCTTTTCGCCAAGTACAGTGTACTTAATTGATGGTACATGACAAGAAGGCCTCCATAACCTCCTCCCCTTTCTCAGGGGGACTGGATGGAAACTCTGTCCAGGATGAGATTCACTGTGGCGGTTCGAGTTGGGATGAGGACTCCTCAGCAGCTGGGGTTCTCTCTCTCTCTCTTCTAGTTCTGTTGCCGGGGCTGGTGTTCCAAGGGGCTTTTACTCTTTGGAGGTCATTGACTCACCCAGGTCGACCACCCAGTTGCTGTAGCCAAATTCATTGTCATAACAGGAAATCAGTTTGACAGAGGGGTTGTGCAGGGCAATGCCAGCCCGAGCGTTAAAGGTAGAAGAGTGGGTGTCACTTTTAAAGTCACAGGAGACAACCTGGTCTTCAGTGTATCCCAGGATGACTACTTTACTACTTTCTTGATGTCATATTTGACAGCTTTCTCCAGATAGCAGTTCAGATCCACAACTGACACATTGGGGGGGGGGGTGAGGACACGGAAAGCCATGCTGGTAAGTTTCCCATTCAGTTCATGGATGACCTGGCCCACGGCCTTGGCAGTCCCAGTAGATGCCGGGATGATGTTCTGGGCAGCTCCATGGCCATCACGCCATAGCTTTCCAGAGGCATCATCCAGAGTCTTCTGGGTGGCAGTGGTGGCATGGACTGTGGCCGTGAGTCCTTCTACGATGCCAGGGTTGTCGTAGATGACCTTGGCCAGGGGAGCCAAGCAGTTGGTGGTCCAGGAGGCGTTGCTGACAATCTTGAGAGAGTCGTCATACTTTTCATGGTTCACACATATCACAAACATGGAAGCATAGGCAGAAGGAGCAGAGATGATTACCTATTTGGCACCACCCTTCAAGTGAGCCCCCCCGCCGCCTTCAAGGTTGTGAAGACACTAGTGGACTCCACATCATACTCAACACCAGCATCACCCCACTTGATGTTGGCAGAATCTCGCTCCTGGAAGATAGTGATGGATTTCACATTGATGACCAGCTTCCCGTTCTCGGCCTTGACAGTGTGGTTGAACTTGACATGGATAGAATCATACCGGAACGTGTATATGGTTGAGGTCAGTGTAGGGGTCATTGATGGCAACAACATCCACATTGCCAGAGTTAAAAACAGCCCTGGTGACCAGGTTCCCAATGTGACCAAATACATTTACTCTGACATTAACCATCCTTTCTCCAGGATTTGGTTGAGGCTGCATGAAAATAGAGGGCAATCTGTCAATCGACAAGGAACAAAAAAACCCATAACATTTTTAAATAGCATTTTTATACCTTTATAAAATGAAGAAGGGAACCTATCTGAAAGACATGTCATAAACATTCTTGCTGGGGTTATCTTTATGCTTTTTTTAGTGATATGCCATTGTGCATTCGGGGCTTATATAGACAGGCCTTCCGCCATCAAAAAGCAGCTGAATAAAATAATTTCTAGTTTGAATATTTTTTGTATTGTATTTTTAGTTTTTTAAATTTATTATTAATTTCAATGAAAATTTACAGAGACTTTGGTTTTACATTCATTCATTATTTCACCTTTCTTCCCTACCAACCTTCCCCCGCAGTACACTATCCTCTTGGAAAAGTAAAAGAAAAATTCTTTCATTGTTTTACAATCCCTCCCCCCAGGTCCACTCCACTAGGCAGCCTTTGCTCTGGACTCCTGTCATGACAAAAATACCTAATCACATCTCTCTTTTAAACCGTTTCTCCCTCATTTGTTTCAATGCAGTATACATTATTGAACCCATCTTTCTCAGTCTCCCCCCAGCCCCGAGGTCAGTCCTGTTTTACAACAGTGGCACCATGCAGTATTTGTCCTTTTGTGACTAAGATTTCACTCAGCATAATGTTCTCCAGGGTCACCCATTTTTAATAATATTGCATGAGTTCCTTGTTTTCCAATGCACCGTAGGATCCCATTGTGTGAATATACAACAGCCTCTATCCATTCGTTTGTTTATGGGCACCTGGGTTGTTTTCAACTCCTTGCTATTGTGAACAAAGCTGCAATAAACATGGATATGCATGTATCTTTGTTCCTATCCCAAAGAAAGGTGACCCAACAGAATGTGGCAACTACAGAACAATCTCACTGATTTCACATGCAAGCAAGATTTTACTGAAGATTATCCAAAAACGACTGGAACAGCACACCAACAGAGAACTACCAGAAGTCCAGGCTGGGTTTAGAAGGGGTCGTGGTACTAGGGATATTGTAGCTGATGTTAGATGGATCTTGGCTGAAAGCAGGGAATACCAGAGGAATGTCTATCTGTGTTTCATTGACTATGCAAAGGTATTTGACTGTGTAGATCATAACAAACTATGGTTGACTCTGAGAAGAATGGGAATCCCAGAACACTTGATCGTTCTAATGCGAAACTTATACTTGGACCAGGAGGCAGTCGTCAGAACAGAGGAAGGGAACACTGCATGGTTCAAAATTGGGAAGGGCGTATGCCAGGGATGCATCCTATCTCCATACCTTTTCAACCTATATGCAGAACAGATTATCCGGGAGGCAGGGGCTCTATGAGGAGAAATGTGGGGTCAAGATTGGTGGAAGATTTATCAACACAACAACCTGCGTTATGCGGATGACACAACCCTGCTTGCTGAAACTGAAGAGGACCTGAAGCGCCTGCTACAGAGTGTCAAGGACTGCAGCCTCCAATATGGATTGAGGCTCAATGTCAAGAAGACAAAGATTCTCACCACTGGACCAATTGGCAGCATCAGGATGGATGGTGAAGAGATTGAGATTGTACACCGCTTTAGTTTGCTTGGCTCCATACTCAACAGTCTTGGCACCAGCAGCCAGGAAATTAAAAGGCACATTGCCATGGGAAAGTCTGCTGTTAGGGACCTCTCCAAAGTACTGAAGAGCAATGGTGTCTCTCTGGAGACTAAGGTGCATCTGATACAGGCTATGGTCTTCGCAATCACTTGTTATGCATCAGAGAGTTGGACAATGACTAGGGAGGACAGAAGGAGAGTTGATGCCTTTGAGCTGTGGTGCTGAAGAAGAGTATTGAGAATACCATGGACTGCTACGGAAAAAAAGAGATTTGTCCTGGAAAGGGTTAAACCGGGTGGCTCCTTGGAGGCAAGGATTCTGAGGTTCCGTCTAACATACTTTGGACATGTTGTGAGGAGAGACCGGTCCTTGGAGAGGGATATCATGCTTGGGAGGGTGGAGGGACGGCGCAGGAGAGGAAGGCCTTCTATGAGGTGGATTGATTCAGTGACTAGGATAATTGGGATGGGAGTGTCAGAGACAGTGTGATTGATTGGCACAGGACAGAGCGGAGTTTAGGGCTGTTGTACATAGGGTCGCTATGAGTCGCAAGCGACTCGATTGCACATAACAAACAACAAGAACACTGCGTATATCTGCTTAGGTGTCAGTTACGGTCTCTTTGGGGTATATTCCCAGTAGTGGAATTCCTGGGTCAAATGGTATTTCTGTTTGCAGCTTTCTGAGAAAATGCTATACCGCCTTCCACAGTGGTTTACACTCCCACCAATAGTGAAAAGGGTTCCAGTTTTCTCCACAACCTCGCCAGCATTTGTTACTTGCTATTCTCTTAAATTTTGCTATTCTGATTGGGGTGAGATGATACCTCATAGCTGTTTTGATTTGCATCTCTCTTAGAGCTAGGGATTTTCAACGTTTCTTCATGTGTTTGTTAGCCATCTGAATGTCTTCTTCGGTGAAGTGTCTGTTCATATCCTGTGCCCATTTTTCGATTGGATTATTTACTTTTATCTTGTGGTGTTCAAGTATTTTATAAATTCTACATGTAAGTCCCTTATCTGATGTGTCATTACCAAATACTTTTCATAGTCTGTGGCTTCCCATTTTACCCTGTTGGAGAAGTTTCTGGATGTGCATAGGGATTTGCTTTTTAGAAGGTCCAGTCCCATTCATATATTTTATTTTCTCCTGGTTGTAGTTTCTTTTTTTTTTGTGGCACATTTAGTTTGTAAATTTATTCATGGAATCTCCATGCTTCCTTAAAGTTGAGAACAGTTTGTTTATTTTCTGTCTATGCCAAAATTTTATAGAGGCTAGATAGACTGGAGTTTTTTGTTTAGTTCATTGTTGTTTTAATTTTGTTTCACTTAAAACATTTCTAGTATGTAAATACTATCTTACTCATTTTCCCCAAATTCAATAACATAATTTTATTGATACTCAAATACTGTTGTGTATTTGTAATTTAATATATAATTTAACTATTTCACCCCTTATCACCCAGTTTTCTCATTGACTCCCTCTCTTTCTTCAGGTCTTTACTCAAGAGTGTCCATCTCAGTAGTGATTCCTTAGCTATCTTTTTAAAAATTTGCAACACTTCCTTCTGTACAGAGAAACTTTGATTATCCCTTAACAGCACAGTTTTGCTTCTTAGTACTTTCTCAGACTGTTTACTTGTATATCTCCATTTGTTTGTCTTCCTCACTAGAATTTAAGCTCTATGGGATCTGAGTGTTCATTTGTTTCCTGCCATACAACAGTCTCTGGCATATAGTAGGCACTCAATAGTTGCTGACTTACTAATGTATTTATAAACATGTTTATTGTATACATATTGTTTAAATTCTTTTGCGGTTGTGACTGGTACAGGAGGAGATCATCCCTCCTTTTACAGCAGAGCATGGATTTGAACCACATGCCTCTGGGATTGCAAATATTGTTTAAATTTTTAAAAAGCAATTTTATTAAGTCTTCACTGATTGTTGAAATATAGCTAATGTTTTTATTTCTTGTAACAGTCTTTATTCTTTTATTTTAGGAGGAAGCTCAGAATTTTATTTTGATGATAATCCTGTGAGTCGCTCTGCCTATTTAGCAGAGTTGGAGAAGATAGGCATAATAGTCAAAGCAAGAAACTGTCTAGTCTTCCAGGTAATAGTTATAATAGTTATTTAATTTCTAGTTTGGAAAAACAGTTGCATCACTGTTTGAATGTTGTTATACTGTACTCTCTTTAAAGGGAACTGTAGAGTCAATTTCAATGAAAAAACCCAGAGAAAGAACCCAGTTTTTTGAAGAAATCAGCACATCAGGGGAGCTTATAGGAGAATATGAAGAAAAGAAAAAAAAGTTACAAAAAGCGGAAGAGGATGCACAATTTAATTTTACTAAGAAAAAAAATGTAGCTGCAGAGCGCAAACATGCAAAACTAGAAAAAGAAGAGGTAAGGTCACAAAGAAGTAACCAGGCAGCTGTTGTTGGGTACAGAAGCCTCTGCCTTCTAGAGTTGTTGGTGTTGACTTGGGGGTTCTCTAGTAGACATTTTCTTGACTAATGTAAAATAGGGAAAAACTCAGTATTTATTAAAGATTTTTTTTATACACCTTTCATATTCATCTTGGTTTTTTCCTGTAGGCAGAACAGCCTACCTTGAAAAATGTCTACTTTTCTCAAATGGACTTGAATGCTAACATTTGTATCTTGATCACCTTTCACTTTTAAAAAGTATTATGGAAATTGAAAACCTTGCTTATGTAGATTGTGTCAGTCAGCTTAACACATTTTAATTAAAACTGAGAAATTTAAAAATAACTTTATGATCCATGTAAAAATAATAGTAGTGGATTTCTAAAAAAAAAGAAATGTAGCTGCAGGGGAGCTCTGGTGGCCTAGTGCAAGAAGCTGCACTGCAATCTCGGAGGTACACAGTTCGAATCCACCAGATGCTCTGCTGGAGAAGGAGGAATAATCTCCTGTATCAGTCAGATCTGATTTGACGGTACACACAAAAAATAATGAAATAAAATAAAAATTAAAAAAATGTAGCTGCAGAATGCAAACATGCAACATGTTTTTATGTAAGGAACATTGCTATGATAAATAATTGCATATTGTAAAACAAAAAATTTCCATTTATATTTTTATGATCTCAATAATCAGGTTTAATAGAAGATGCTAGATTCTCAGATCTGCTTCTGCATTCAATCTGAGACTAGTGAAATTTTCTTTTATTACCTTAAAATTTCTTTACCTACCTTGTGTTTTAAGTGAATCTTTTACTCATAAACAAGAAAAAAAATTACCATCAGATTTGATGGATATTAACCCTATACGGGAGAATAAAAAACTCTCACTTAGAATTTCCAAAGCTAGAAGTCATGATGAAAGTAGGCTGCCTCTTTCTCAGAGCAGAAGGTAGTTTCAAAGTCAGAACCTTTGAGTTATCAGGTGCATTACCCACTCCACTACCAGAAACAACTCATTTTACTCATCTGTGAATTTTTAACATCATGCATTGGTTATTTAGAAAATAACTAGTTTAATAAATTATGGAGATTATACAATTGTTGACAAATTATTATAGAATATAAAACATCCACACTTCTTTTTTTTTTTTTTTTTACATCCACACTTCTTAATGTCACCATTATTCTTACCAGAAAAGGTGGTAAGTACTAAGAAGCTTCCAAGCTCATAATTAGGAAATTTTCAAATGTTTTTATTTGAAATGAAAGCTCAACTTTTGTAAATAATAGTGTCTGTTGTTTTCCTTAAAGGAACACTCACTTTAGTTTTGAAAAAATGCTTACTAAATACAAGTCTGAATAGAACTTTTTAAAAATAGTGGTTCATTCAGCTTGTAACGATCCAGTTGCACAAGGACTTTTCATGAAGAAAACTATCACATCTAAGCCATCTGCTTAAAAGTATTTTATCCCACAATATTAAAAAGTGTGTAAAATGAGTCAGGATTTATTGCAGTTAGTTTTACTGCTTTGTCAAGTGTGTTTGCAAGTGAAAAATGACCATTTTTAGAACTACAAGTATGTGGCAGTAAAGAATACAGTGACTACCTACTACAGTGTAGTCCCTGCCTGGGTTGAGCGAAGTCTTGCCTCACCTTTGGCTTTAGTCCTCGCTGTTAGTGAAAGTGTCAGCTCACTAAAAAAGGGGTTTTGCTTTCGCCAGTTCTCTGTCTAAATCACTGTACCTGAGTTTTGTGCAACTGTATTTCAAGTATCCTTGGAGGTAGAGTAGATGAGACAGTTTACTTCTATGAAGATTTACAGCCAGGAAAACCCTGTAGAGCAGTTTTACTCTGTTCTCCATGGTTGCTGAGTCAGAATCAGTTTTGACAGCAGTGAACTTGGTTTGGTTTAGGGTTTTAAAATGCTCTCGGTCACATTTGATTAAAATTCCATTTCCTCAGGCAATATTCATCAGCCCCCAACTGAAATTAACTTCTTTGTACTACCATGTCAGCCTATTTTGTTTCCTTTTTTAGCATATTTTACTGTATAAAATTGTCTGTTACTTAAATTGCTTACTTATTTTCTGGCTGCTTCCTCCTCTTTCTACAAGGATATAAGCTTTAAAAGAATAGGGGACCCTTGAACTTTGTTACCTATTCTCAGCTCATGGAATAGGAATTGGCACAAAGTCAGAACCCAATAAGTATTCATATGAATCAAATTTACATGATCCTTACTTGTTATGTTTATCTGTAGCCTGTCAGGTTATTGACTATATGTGTACCCTTGACTCTGTCACTGGGAAGAGGTTTCAGAAGTACAAGTCAGGTTACAGTATTCTTAACATACTGAGACAGCTTATTAGAAAAGGAAAATTGCAAACCATCTAGTACAAGGGAAAGTTGAACAGTCTACCTTCATAATTAGTTTTTAGTCTTTCCACATCTGGCCACTTACTGTTAGATGGAACGTCTCAGTTGTTGATTGCCTTCGAATCGAGAATGACTCATAGCGACCCTATGAACAAAAGGCCTGAAGCCCCTCTACAACGATCGACATTTATTAAAGTTCATAGAGTTTCTGGAGGTGTGTTGTTTAGGAAGTGGATGCCACTCCTTCCATTCAGTCACTAGTAGCCCAAAGAGAAAAAAGCAGGACAATTCTTGCTTTCTCTGTATAATTTAGAACATTCAAAGTTGTATTATATGGAAAGCACAGTCTGTAGCAGGAATTTTACCTGGAATCATTGAATTGTACAATTGTTTGGGCCTTTCAAGTCAGTTAATGATCTTTTTACATGGGAAGGAACTGATACCAGAAGTGACAGTGGACTTGGCAAACTGATAGAGCAAGTAAAAAACAAGGGTGGGCCCAAAGGGAGTGGCTGTCACTTCATTCTTCTTACCACTGGACTGCCCAGTACTTGTACCCCAAATCACCAGTTTATTTTAGATCTGTATTGAGAAGCTGGCAACAACACTATTTCTTAGTAACAAAATTTATTCCGTCTAATTTGTTAATGTACCAATTATAACTATTAGTATAATAGTTGATTATGAAAGATTGCTTTTAATATTTCCCTATTAACTCCTGTTGGATTGTGCTGTTTTAAAGGCAGAACGTTACCAGAGTCTACTTGAAGAACTGAAAATAAACAGGATACAATTGCAGCTTTTCCAGTTGTATCATAATGAGAAGAAAATTCATTTTCTGAGTATTGAGTTAGAGCATGCAAATCGGGAGCTGAGTGCCACCAAGGAGTCTTTTTCTCATCAGGAAGGGGTAGTCAAAGCCAAGAAAAAGGAACATGGAGTGCTAACCAGACAAGTACAGCAAACAGAGAAAGAGTTAAAGTGAGTTTCAAAAATAGGTATTAGCAGTTGGATTTTATGTGTTTTTAAAAAAGGTTTTTCTTTTTATTTTGCCATGCTTTTAGATTTACATAAAATACATAGAGCTAGTGAAGTCAGTTCCAATACATCCCACACAATTTCCCCTACTATACCTATCACCTATTGATAGGCCATTACTTAATGAAGTCCATACTTCAGCTAAAATTTCTGGTTCTTCTTGTTAGTTGTTGAGTATGAATCATAGCAACCCTGTGAACAGTAGACCTGAACCCTGCCCTGTCTTAAGCCATCCTCATCATCTCTACACACTTGAGTTCATTGCTGCAATCACTATGTGGCTTAAATTGTACTTTATTTAGTTTTTATTATCCAGGATACCATATTGAATTTTACTGGCTTTTCTACTTTAATTCTTTGACTGTGGCAGAGATTTTCCTTGGATGACCATGACAGCTTTTAGTACTGATCAAAAATTTTGTAGATTATTCCTTAGTTGGGATCCATCAAGGATTTGTCTCATAAATAAACCAGAATTGTGGTTTTGGTAGTGTGAGAAAAGACCACCGGGTGAAGTTCCATTCTTAAAATGTTGTATCAAGGGTATCATAATTTTTATGCTGTTTGTCATCATGTTGTTTGTTGTTGTAGAGCATCGGAATCAACCCATAGCTGACCCTCTGGCGGATTATCAGAGGCAGTAATCACGTGGGAGTTTGCCCATCCTTCTCCCATAGAGCAGTTGGTGGCCCCCAACCATGTGCCTTTGAGATTGCAGCTCAGCTTCTTTGCCAGTAGGCCACCAGAGCTCCCTGTTTGTCATCATATTAATGACTTAATACTGTTAAGATTAACCTTGATGTCCTGGCTCTGGGAATATTTGTCAGGTTTCTGTACTGAAAGTTATTCTTTATACTCCGCATTCTGTCGCACTTTCTGTAGAGGGAAGTCCCTGTGCTCAGCCCACGCTTCAGGAGTGGAGAGTTCCACCTTGACTATGTACATAAATTATTTGGAATTCTGCTTTTCTCAGTTTTCCTGTTCATTCAATTACACAATGATGGACTGATGAACTTTTAAGTTCTTTAAGTTACTTTAAATTCTAATTTAATTTTACTTTAACTTGTTCATATTTTCTCAGCTTTGGCCATTGAGTTGACTCCTATGTTCCTTTGATGTGTCTGCTGACATTTGAAACCTTTTGTAGATTCTTTGCACTGAACTTTTCTGCATTAAGGTTCATTCTTTGTGCTGTAAAATTTTGTGGGTTTAGGTAAGTGCATAGTGTCATATAGCCACCATGACAGAGGTGTGTACAATAGTTGTATGCTCTAAAAAATTCCTGTGCTTTACCTCTCCAACTTTACCTCCCATGTAATGACCTTTGGCAACTGATGATACCTTTGGTGTCTCTGAAAATTTACTTACAGTCTTAGCTGTGTGATTTCATCAAAAGAACCTTTTCCCTTTGTATATTATGAATTTTATTTTTCTTTAAGGTAAAGAAAATCTTATTAAAAATTTTTTTAGATCCCTTGAAGCACTTTTAAATCAGAAGAGGCCTCAGTATATCAAAGCTAAAGAAAATACTTCTCATCACCTCAAAAAATTAGATGTGGCCAAGAAGTCAATAAAAGACAGTGAGAAGCAGTGTTCTAAACAGGAAGATGACATAAGAGCCCTTGAAGTGGAGCTGGTTGATTTAGATGCTGCGTGGCAAAGATTCGAAAAGCAGATTGAGGAAGAAATCTTACATAAAGGGAGAGACATTGAGCTGGAAACAAGCCAGGTGAAAAACTCAAGATAAAGGAAATACCTTTATTGTTGCATTTTCTCTTTTTAATTAAACAAATTTCAAAGATTACCTCGCTTTCAATGTTATAAGATTATCCTAAGAATGTTAAAGAGATTTAGACCTGCATATGGAATAAATCTTTAGACTGAGCTCTTTTTCTTCTCTATTAAATCCATTATCATTACTAGCTATAGTTTGTGACAATTTCAAGTGTCAAGGCCAACCTATTCCCTAGAGTTTTTAGTGACTAATTTTGGGAAAGTAGATATAAGTAGACTTGAATGTCTTAACCTTTCCCTTATAAGCCAACTGTAGTAAACATTTCTTGACTCAGTGATTTCTTAGAGGCAGTCATAGTGTTTATGTTTTAATTGAAGTCCTGGAAAATACGTCAGCAAGATTATATGGTGTCATTTTATGTTAAAAGATAAGGAAATTCTTCATGAAAATTTTAAGGTAATTTTTCCTCATGAATATTATAAAATCTTAAAGATCACATATATGACTTTTGTCATCACTGAGTTGATAGGGAAATTGATTATTTGAGATGGCATAAATGATAAGTTAATAGCAATTTTGGTAAGATTTAACTATAACTAATAGAGATATCCAAAAGTTTTCAAGCATTCAACTAGATTTTCGTCGTTCATCTCATTTTTTAGTCATCGTGTATCATCATCTGTATTCCAAAGAAATTATGACTACATTTAAAAAACAACATTTTCTCTGGATTCCTCTTCCTTTTTTTATGACACATTAAGGAGTTTCCATTTCTCTTTGAAAAAATTTCTGAGGGAGCTTTTGTTTTTTTACAGTTTGCTTTGAGAATCTTGCTGACCTACCCTAATGGCTTTAACTAATTTATGTTCACATTATTTTACCTGCGGAAAATGGTCAGTTGCAATCTAATCTAAGTAAAACATAGTTTTGCTAATATGAATGATCTGCTGATAATTATCTGCTGGTAAAATAGATAATACAGAAAATTCCCTTTGTGTGTCCTTAAATGATTTAACATTGTTTACCTGCTTTTTTTATACAGCTGGATCATTACAAAGAACTTAAAGAAAAAGTGAGAAAGAAAGTGGCTATAATGACCCAGCAACTGGAAAAACTGCGGTGGGAACAGAAGGCTGATGAAGAAAGGCTGGCATTTGAAAAGAGGAGGCATGGAGATGTTCGGGTACCTTGATTTATGCAGAAATGATAGAGAATTAATTTGCTGAATTGTATCCCCTTTATTATAGTATCTTTTTAATACATAAATGGATCTTCTATAAAAACTTCTAAGTTAACTGTTAGGGTGACTAGCATTATTTAGATGTTCTTCTAGGGTCCAAGATAAGACTTGACAGTGTCTTCATTTGTATTTATTCAGCACTATTTTGCTTGTACATAGTGATGGACATTGGGCAGATTGAAAGAAGAGAAATCTTACATATATTTTAGGTCAGTGGGGTTAGGAGAAAGTTCTAGAATATGAGAAAAAAGTAGTACTACAGAAGAGGTGAATGCAGAGTGTTTGGAAGCAATTAGAACATGACCAAGAGGAGCTAAATAGTTTGCAGGGGAAATGACCATCAAAACAGTTTTCATTTTTGTTAGTGTATATTTACGTTTACACACATAAACATATATATGGTCATTGATGCTCTGGCTTAGAATAAGACATACTTTTACTTCCCACCAGTCTTGCTTTCTCACATACCTGTGTAGTTACATCATTTTGTTGTGCTTTTCAGAAAATTGTAGGGATTTTTACGGATAGAAATACTGTGTCAGTCCTGCTGTTAAAGCAAATCTGTCAGCACCATTTTCCAGCAATTTGTGATCTCGTGTCTCTGTTGCACATTTTGGCCATTTTTACACTATTTTGAACTTTTCATAAAACTATTGCACACTCAGTAGTCTACAGTATAGTGTGTCAGCATAGCTTTTATGTGCACTCAAAACTCAACTCTGCCATCAAGTTGGAAGCAAATCCTAGCTGACCCTGTGGTGAGTTTTCAGAGGCAGTGAATCTCAAGAGAGGAGATTGCTCATCTTTTTCCTGTAGAAAAACTGGTCGATTTGACCCACCTGCCCTGGTTGGCACTGCAGGTCTTTACCCACTGCGCGGGGTGGGGGGATATCCTGTGACTTTATTGTGATATCCACTTCATTGTCGTGGTCTAGAGCCAAACTGGCAGTGTCTCCTAAGTGTGCCTGTGACTAAATAATTTAGCTCCTCTGGCTTTTTTTTTTGTGCATCAAGTATAAAATACAAGCCTTTAATCACATAGATCAGCTTTTTAGCTTTTGTAAATTTAAAAACAAAACAAAAGGATAAATAAGGCACTTTACTTTTAAAAACTAAAACTGCTTGGTTCCAAGTTTAAAACCCAAGGAACAACCAGAAGATAATCTATAACTTCCCTTGCTCAGCCTCAGAGAAAGACGGAGCAAGTTCCCTTCTCTGTGGGAGGCGTGTTTCCTGACACCTCAAGTGGTGGTGTTCTCCATCAGCTGCAGATCTGAAAGGCTTGGTAAGCTTATACAAGCAGGTTTAGTTAATGCAAAAGAAAAGGTAACTTCTGCGGAGCAGTTGGACTCTTGGCTGCTGCCCTTCACGTCACTTTGTGTCCAGCCGTCTCCGCTTGCTATGGGAAGGGTCCAGCTTTGCCTCCAGCTTTCGCTTTCTCTGGGCAGCATTGTTTTCTGGGCTTTTCATCAGGGGTCTGGCCTGAGTCTTTCCACTGCTCTGCTTCCTGTTCCTGTATTTTGGAGGCTTTGAAGGGGGCTCACCAACTCCTTTATGCTTTACAGGTCCTCTGGCTTTTGATTTCTTCACTTGTGCAGTATACCATTGCTAGACAGATAATGCGTACTCGAATGTGATAACCAAACAAGCATCTAGTCTTTTCCTTTCTGTCTCAGGCATGTTCAGTATTACGTATAGTTTATGCTGTATTATGAAGTTAAGTAGGCTTCTATGGGCCATCCTAAAAATGTGACCACCATTCCTAATAAAGGCAGTAATGGGAAAATGATCTGAATTATACTTCTACTCTTGTGCCTCCTGAGGTAAATCCCAGCATGGCAGCTGTGTGACATTTTTAAAGTCAGATCATGGAGCTTCCTGAAATCTTCCAGTGGTTCTCTCCTCAGAAATTGAAGTCTAAGAACCTGTTGAGAACTCTGTGTGTGTCTGTGCGCTCCTCTAACTTTACTTGGACATCTTTTTCCTTTTCTGGTTTTCTCTAACCTGATTAGCACTTTTTGGAACATAACAAATCTGTTTTGTAGGTTTTCTAGTGTTGCCTCCCCGAATTCATGTCCAGTCAGGATTGACCTTATTTTGAAATAGCCTTTTTACAGATTTGAGTAGATAAGGATCTTAACATGAAATCATTGTGGATTTAGTGTAGCCCCTTCATCAGTGACTAGTGTTCTTCTAAAAAGAGGATAGGACACAGAGATGAGATGATTTAAAGGATGAGATTAAAGTGATGTATATCTACAAGACAAGGAACACCAGGATTGCTACCAACCACCAGAAGTTGGAAAAGAGGCATGGAACAGCCTCCAGAAGGACCTAACACAACACCTTGATTTCAGACTTCTGACCACCTTATCTCTGTAAGAATCAGTTCTTACCATTTCAGGCAATTAAGTGTGTGATGTTGGGGAGCTCTGGTGGCCTAGTGGTAAGGACCTGCAACTACAATCCCAGAGGTGCACGGTTCGAATCCACCAGATGCTCTGCCGGGGAAGGAGGGACAATCTCCTCCTCTACCAGTCAGATCTGATTTGACGGTACTCACACAAAAAAATAATAAAATTTTTAAAAAGTGTGTGATGCTGTGTTATGGGAGCTCTAGGGAGAGAAGTCAGGATATCTCCATAGTTTTTATTATTCTCCCAAAAACATGCTTTGGATTAGTACTGCTCCCCATAAACTGTGCCATCTGAGCTCCCTCATGCAGAGTAGATAGTCAATTCAGTGAATGAATGGATATATTTTCCAGATGAGAGAATCATGATAAAAGATAGTTAACCTCTCCAGAGTGCTGAAGGGCAAGGATGGCAGTCTAGAGACTATGGTGCGCCTGATCCAGATCATAGTCTTTGCAGTTACTTGCTATACATCAGAGAGCTGGAAAATGACCAAGGATGACAGAAGAATTGCTGCCTTTGAGTTGCAGTACTAAAAAAGATTATTGAACGTACTCTTCAATATGGACTGTCAAGAAAATGAACATGTCTGTCCTGGAGAGGGTGAAACTAAGCTGCTCCTTGGAGGTAAGGATTTTGAGAATGCAACTCACATATTTTGGGCATGGAGCCAGGAGGGACCAGTCTTTGGAAAAGGACATCATGCTTAGAATGGTGGAGGGGGCAGCACAGGACCGGAAGACCCCAAATTAGATGTATTGACATAGTAGCTGGCGTAATCGGTGTAGATGTGTCAGAGACAGTGAGATTGGCTCAGGATAGTCACTATGAGTCATTGAATTGATGGTGCATAACAACATGACTAAGGGCATACAGCTCATATTTGGAAAGAGATTTTATTTCATCTCTTGGTAAACAGATACGAAGTCATGTTCATCATACATACCTTACTCCTCATGTTTTGGCATCTTTGTGATTTGGCAGATCAAAATAGAAACAAACAAGGAAGGTGTAGTATAGTAATCATCTGAGTAGATAGGATATTTTTGTGCAAGGAGAAAAAGGTTTTAACATTACAGAAATTAATATTAAAACATATGTTAAATTTGTATCACAAATTGATTGATACTTACAAAAACACTTGGCACATATTTTCTTTTGTGTTTACTGAATTCAGATTTATTTTTGAAAGAACATGCTGTGTCCACATTACCCACACCCCTAGGCCTTCCCTGACCCTCATTCCATCTTCCCTCCCCCATTATTAATACTTTAATGAAGGTTTACAGAAACCTTGGATTTCCATTCATTCATTGTTGCACATTTTCCTCCCCACCCCACTCCCAGTTCACTTTTCTCTTTAAAGATTCTTAATCCCCTGCAAAAAAAAAAGATTCTTTCACTAATACACAATTTCTTCCCTTCCCCTGGCCCCCAGTCCAATAATACCTAATCATATATTCCTTTTAAAAGTTCTTTTCCCTACTTCCAAATAAGAGCTCATCTGCCTTGGAATAACCAACCATATGAGTTATAAAAAGCAGCATTTGCCCAAAGATAAAGTCCTGAATGTTGCAGATTGAGGGTAAAGTATTTTTATAAGTATTAATAATGAGCCAGAACATCAAGAATGTAGGAGAAGAACAGAGGTAAAGCAGGAGGCGAACTCACTTGAACAACTGAAGCGAACTGAAGCATGGATTCCAGCTTCCCTGTCTTTATTGAAAATTGCCAGGGAGTAAATCACAAAAAGGATTCAATACAGATGAAGCTAAGTATTTTCTGTTGAAAACCTGCTTGGCTGAGGAGGGAGGGGTTAGCAAATACAATGCAAGAATCCTGTAAACGCTGAAGGATTACCTTAGTGTCTACCCTTGTAAACATTTAAGGATTGCCTTGGTGCTTCAGGAATAATTCCAGCTGTTACCAGCCTCCTTCATAACCTGAAGTGGTATTGTGTTTATCACAGATATTTAGTATGAAATTTGACTTCCCCATATTTCTCCCCTTTAATTATGTAGTCATCTAGACAAGCATGGCTTCTCTTCTTTGAGTCATTCTTGTTTGTTTTTGTTCTTTCCATCCTTTATACACAAATAAATAAAACAAATTAAGCATAATAAGCTAAAAAAACCCCCAACTTCCAAAAATCTCCATATGATTAGGATTCAGGTTGGATATTCCTTGAGGGTTGGTCTCTATTGTTATATTGCCATAGTCCTTGTCAAAACCAGATCTGATTGATCTCCTTTATCAGGTGTTCTTTGCCGTTCCCCTGTCACCTGGAGGCAGGAAGGGGCAGGTAAAAAGGTTAATTGAAATCAGAATTGTAAGGAGGAAGAGGGGAAAAATGCAACTAATTATCATGATTATGGTAATCTTATAAAAATAAATGAAAACCCAATATGCTTTGTAACTTTTCATTCAAATTACAGTAAAACAAATTTCAGAAGGCTCATTTGGTCACTTTTCTTTCTCTAAATGTCTAAGGACTTATATCAATTTACATAAAAATTGCTGCTAGTTACAGCTTTACTGGACTAAAAGCTGCTTTGAGCAGAACTTAGTAGTATGCACAGTAGAACCTTATACTTAGTAGGCATTGTAAGTTTTGATTTAATTGCTATTGTTTTTTGAATAAAAGAAGAATTTAAATGCTGAAGTGGAAAAAAACCTGTACCCAAACTCAAAATGTCCTGCAGTACTGCTGGCTTCTTAGACACGGATGGCCATTTCAAACAGGAAGGACTTCTGCCTTTTCAGAAGCCAAATAGCTTTGGTGTGGAATAGTCCTTGACTTTCTTAGACTATTCGTTGGTCTGCAGGCATGCCAAATCCTGAAATCAAAGTGGTCTGATAATCCCCCATTGTGTGCCTGACAGAATTTCCAGACACTGCAGATGCTGAGAAGATAGGGACACCAGTTCATTCTCTTATTGGTTCAGGTTTTTTACATTTTCTCCAATAAAGCATATCTTCTGCCTACCAGGTGGTGTCTAGAAGACCTAATTGGTCTTCTAGAAAGTGATGACCGCAAGCCGTCGGATACACTTAAATTCAAGTACAGAGGCTTACGTTTTCAGTTGACTGACCTTGTTTTTTCCTGAGTAAAATTCCTACTATAGATCACTATGGGGACTCTGATTTCAAAATTTTTTAGTTCTTTGAGAATAGGAGCCATGTTTTCCTTGTTTTGGTAATTGACACCTAGCAGGGTAGATGTGTGTGTTAATGGGATGCTTGGGATCATTATCTTCCTAAGATATGTTAGGATAAGTTAAAGCCAGAGTTTCTTCTTTTTCCTAATGTTGTATAGTGAGGGCAAATTATGTTTCTTTCATGGGTGCCCTCCTCAATTTAGATGACTAATGGTGCAAGTTCAAATTGAAGCTGAAGAAAATTAAAACAAGTTCATAAGAATCAAAATACAATCTTGAGTGTATACTAAATGATTTTAAAAGTCATCTCCAGAATAGGTTTGAGGCATCAACACTAATGATCAAGATTAAATGAGGGTGTAGGAAATAGGAAGCATCTTTTGTGAAAAACAATGTATTCAAACTTTGTAAATAAATCAAAGTAATATAAAAAAAAGATTAAATGAGACATGGGATGATATAAAAGATACCGTCCATGAAGAGAGCAAAAGGTCTTTACAAAGACAGAGGAGAAAAAGACCAAAATGACATGAAGAGACTCTGAAAATTGTTATAGAGTGTACAGAAACCAAAACAAGGGAGAAACACAGAAGAGATGAGTGGAAAGTTTAAAAAGTCAACTTGAGAAAACAGAGCAAATTATTATAATGGAAAGTGCAAAGAACTGGAGTTGAAAAATAAAAAGAGAAGAACTTGCTCAGAATTTTTCAAGTTGCAAGAACTGAAAAATTTAAACCTCAAGTTGCAATACTGAGAGATGTTATGGGCAAAATCTTGAATGATCCAGGAAGTATGAAAAGAAGATGGCAGGAATACACAGAGTCACTGTATACAAAATAATTGGTTGATAATGAAAAATTTCAGGAAGTACTATCTGAACAAGAGCCAGTGACAGTGAAGGAAGAAGTTCAAGCACTGAAGGTGTTGGCAAAATAATAAGGTCCCTGCATGAGTCCAGAACAAAGGCTACATGGTGGAGTGGACTTGGGAGGGATTGTATAACAATGAAAGAATTTTTCTTTTACTTTTCAAAGAGAAGAACGAACTGGAGGGGAGGGGTGGGCATGGGGAAAAGTGCTACAATGAATGAGTGGAAATCTAAAATCTCTGTAAATTTTTATTAAAATTAATAATAATAATACAACTTATTAAAAAAATAACGTCTCAGGAATTGGTGGGCTTCCAATTGACATGTTTTAGCTGACTCATGCAGCCCTGGACATGCTCACCAGTTTATACCAGGAAGTTTGGAGAACATCTACTTGACTGGCTGACTGAAAGGGACCCATATTTGTTCCCAAGAAAGGTGATCCAACAGAATGTAGAGGTTACTGAACAATAGCATTAATACTATGTGCAAGCAAAATATTGCTGAAGTTTATAAAAAAATGGCTAGAACAGTTCATTGACAGAGAACTTAACAGAAGTGGAGCCTGGGTATAGAAGAGGCTGTGATACCAGAGATAGCATTGCTGATACCAAGTGGATCCTGGCTGGAAGAGAATACCAGAAGAATGCCTATTTGCATTTTATTGACTATGCAAAGGCATTTGCTTGTATTGATCATAACAAACTATAGCTAACATTGAGAAGAATGTGAATCTCAGAACACTTAATTATGCTCATATGAAACCTTTAACTAGACCAAGAAGCTATTCAGGCAGATTAAGGGAACACTGCATGGTTTAAAATTATAAAAGGTGTGCATCAGGATTGTATTCTTTTTCTGTATCTTTTGAATTTGTTTGCTGAGCAAATTATTTGAGAACATAGACCCTTTGAAGAAGAATGTGATATCAGGATTAGAGAAGCTTCATCAACAACTTGCATTTATGCATATGACAGTCTTGCTTGCTGAAAAGTGAGGACTTAAAACGCTTGGAGAAGATCAAAGACTATACCTTTCAATATTAATTGCATCTCAGCATCAAGAAGACTAAAATCCTCACTGTTGGATCTATAAACAACATATGATAGATGGGGAAAAGATTGAAATTGTCAGTGATTTCATCTTACTTGGATTTGCATTCAGTACCGTTGGTACTAGCAGTCAGGAGATCAGTTGACATGTTGCACTGGGCAATTCTACTATTAGATCACTCTTCAGATTACTGAGGAGTCATGATAACAGTTTGAAGCTGAAGGTGCACCTGATGCAGGCCATGGTCTTTTCAGTCACTTGTTATGTATACATGTGAGAGTTGGACAGTGAATAAGGATGACAGAAGAAGAATTGATGCCTTTGAGCTGTGGTGTTGGAGAAGAATACAGAATATTCATGGACTGCCAAAAGAATAAACAGATTTGGTCGCTAATGGTAAGAAGCTGTACTGCATTCTGCCTGCTTCATAGGAGGATAGACAGTCTCTTTCCCCCAATATACTATGTCTGAAAACCCACTGGAGGGTCAGCTGTGAGTCTGTTCCAACTCTATGGCACATAACAACTTGGAGAAAGTGCAGCCAGAATGCTCTTTGAAGGCAAAGATGATTAAGCTTCATTTTGCATACTTGAGATGCATGTTACTAGAGAGGCTATTCCTTAGAGAGGGACATCATGCTTGGAAAGATGGAGGGTTATCAAAAGAGAGGAAGACCCTCAAAGAGATGGATTGATACAGTGACTGCAGCATTGAACTCAAGTGTGTCAAATGATAAGGATGATAGTGGATAGGACCAGGTTCAGATCTGTGGTTCTTTGGGTCGCTACAAATGGTTCTTGACAGCATCTAACAACTCCAAAGGCTCAGTTTCTGTCTTCATTGGACTGTAGTATTCGTTGAGGTCAGTAACTATCCTATTCATTATTATTATACCTCTAGTTCTTAGCACAAGTTAGCCAGTGAGTAAATAATTTCTTGAATAAATTAGTTTGTTGTTGAGTCAATTACCACTCAAAGGAGCCCCTTTGTACAGCAGAATAAAACACTGCCTAGTCCTTGACCATGCTCATACTTGTTGCAAGAACCCATTTTGTTGAGGGCTTAACTCATTTTCACTAACTTACTGCATGTGAAGTACAGATAAAACCTGTGTATGAGTATTTGGAAATAATCCTCTTAAAGTCATCAGAGTGAATTTGCCAAAGTTTGAAGCCAGGTTTTGAACACTGGTCTGTATAATTTCAAAATTGCCACTGCCTTTTCAAAATAAAAATTTATTCTTAAAAGTATTTATGTATAGTGATATCAGATAACATTTTCATTTACAACAGTGTATTAATAGCAATTTCTAGGTGTACAGTGAAAAAATTTATGATTGATTTCAAGTTTTCTATTTTAGGGGAATATAAAACAAACAACAGAACAAATAGACGATAATAAAAAGAGAATAGAAAAGTTGGAGGAATACACAAAGACATGCATGTAGGTATAATACAAAAAAGAAAGAAAAAGCCTTATACTTCATCTTGGGTCTGTTTTGTCTGTACATCAGATGAATGTGCCTCCTCTGTTATAATGTGCTCCTATTTTTTTTTTTTTTTCATTTCTTGGTATCTACTAAAAAAATTTTACAATTAACCACTTAAGAAATGGAATATTTAAATCTGGAAAATAAAAATATTTCCCCTGATAAAACTTAAAGGTCCCTTTTTTTATAATTTTATACTGATTTATTTACAAAGTTTGAATATATTTGTTTTTCATAAAAGATTCTTACCATTTCCATCACCCCTCTACCCATCTAATTATGCAACCCTATGATTAACACCCTACCCTCATCTTTGATTTTGATATTTTGTAATAAAAATACTGTGTTACATCATGAAAAATGGTGTGACTTAATCTACCATTAAGAGGTGTTTTGTTTTTCTTTCTCTTGTTGCATACCATCCAATGGGATCCAGCTGGCACAGAAGGAGATTGCCCCTCCTTTTCCAGTGGAGCATCTAATGGATTCAGATGCCTTTGGGATTGCAGCTTAACTTCTTGGCACTAGGCTATCAGAGCTCCCTCCATGAAGAGATTTTTAAATCACTGTTTTCTTGTTAATTAAGTTGATGATTCTATTACATTTATTATAACAATGATCTTTAACTTGTTCAGTACCCAGAAAGATTTATCTTTTGAACCAACAAAAAACAGTCAAAATCTCCTTTGTCCATTTTTGTTGTTAGGTTTGTTTTATATTTTTTTTCTCCTTTGTAAATTGAGAAGAGCCCTACTTCTTTCTTCTACAGTGTTAAACTTGAATTTTATTTTACCTTGTAATTCTCAAATCTTGGTTTTCCTTTTTACTTTGATATTTTTCTTGTTGCTATTATGTAGTGATTGCCTGAATGAGAAAAAACAGCAAGAAGAAATCCTTCAAAATGAAATTGAAAAAGCAAAAGCAAGAATGTCTGAAATTAATGAAGAATTGAATCTTATTAGAAGTGACTTGGAGAACGCTGGAATTGATACTCATGAGGGGAAACGGCAGCAAAAGAGAGCAGAGGTTCTGGAAAACCTCAGAAAACTCCACCCAGAGTCTGTGGTAATGAAAAACAAATAGTTCAGCAAAACAAACGAAAAAGAGGATAAACTTTACTAATTGGTGAAAACATTTGTCTTATTTGAGGCTAAAATATAACAGCGGTATTTAGGGTAAAAGTATCTACAGATAAGAGTTGTCAGGGAGAAGCAGTGACCTGAACTCTACCCAGAAAGTCCCAGACGACCAGTAATTCCAAAAGACTGGACACTATAAAGTAGCCTGGTCCCCCTCACCCTGTAGTCTCAAACCACATGCTCCTCATAGTTTCAGAGTATTTGGGGGTTCTTTTTTACAGCAGATGTATGGGCATATTGTTAGGTGCCATCAAGTGTCATGAAACTCATGATGACCCTAGGTACAATAGCCCTGATACCCACCCCCTCCTGAACCAATCTCACTCACTGACACATCTACCCTCATTACCCCAGTTACTGTATCAACCTGTCATCTGGGGTCATCTTCTGCACTGTCCGTACACTCTTCCAAGCATGACGTACTCCAAGGACTGGTCTCTCTCCTGGCCATGTGCTCAAAGTTTATGAGACAGAGCTACAACATTCTTCTCTCTGAGGACCAGCTTGATTTCACCCTCTAGTGTTTGAGCATCACAGAATTTCTTCCTTTGCTATGAGGACAGGCATCTTCCAGTCTTGTGACTAGCACAAGTGGACACTGCACAGCCCTCAGCTTACAGTGAGTGACTCTGTACTCACCTGCTTTGTCACAACGCACTTGGCTGTAGGTTTCCAGGGTGCTGCCTTTCTTGGCATTCCTCTTGCTTCACTAGCCACTTAATTTCCATTCCCTTTATGCTCAAAAGTTAGAATCTTTGCTGCATTATCACACTAGCAGACAGTGCTGTATAATGCTCTTCACTAAATGCATTTGCTTTTCTCTTTTGTTTGAAACCTGCACAGTTTGGAAGACTGCTGGACCTGTGTCATCCTATTCATAAGAAATACCAACTGGCAGTTACAAAGCTTTTTGGTCGGTACATCTTTGCTATTGTTGTGACCACTGACAAAGTGGCAAGAGAGTGTATCCAGTATCTGAAGGAAGAAAGAGCTGAGCCAGAGACATTCCTTGCTTTAGACTACCTTGATGTAAGAAACTCTAATGTTCAGAACTTAGAAATATACTCTTATCTGTTAAAGAATTTCTTCATTGCCTTAAACTGGGGTAACCCAAACCACACAAAAACATGGTGTCAGTTGTAACTCACGGTCATCCCAAAGGATGGAGTAGAACTGTAACCAAAGGGTTTCCTTTTTACAGAAAGGTGCGGTTTTTATAAGCAGCTTACTCTGTTTTTATCCTCTGATACTGTGGCTACTCATTGCTTCGAAGTTGAAACTCAGCCTCCAGCAAGTTCTCATAGGCTATAAGTCTTACAGGAGGAATTTGCCTGTATTTTTTCCACAGAGCAGCTAGTAGATTTAAACCACTTGCCTTTGGTCTGGCAGCACAACTCCTTATCCACTGAATGCTATTGTTGTAGACCATCGAGTCAGAACCAACCTATAGCTGACTTTCCAGGGGTTTTTCAGAGGCTGTAAATCACCCAGAGGAGGTTGCCCATCTTTTCCTCACAGAGCAGCTAGTAGATTCAACCATAGCAAATAATGAGTTCCAACCTTATCTCTTTGAGATTACAGTGCAGTTTCCTACCCCTAGGCCACAGGGCTCCCAATTACAATAGTAGTAGTTGTTCTTGTTAAGTGCCGTTGAGTCGTAGGCGACTCATACTGACCCTGTGAACGAAAGTCCTCGACTTTTTCGTGACTTTCATCCTTTCTCCAAGTTCATAGGGTTTCCAGAAGCAAGCTATTTATGGAAGTGGATGCCACTCCTGCTTCCAAGCTTGTTCTAATGGAGGAGCTCCACCAAACACTGTCCACAATGGGTAACCATTATCACATTTGGCACATCAGTGTCACTGTAGTAGTGACAGGAAAAAAAATGACGTTTGGATGACGTTAATGTATTAGCAGGCAAAGGATAATAGTTGTGAGAGGGTGCCATGTATTTCTTAGTGGCCTTGATACAATGACTCTAGAAGTGTACCGCTTTACCTACCACTCACTCGTCAGTTTCTTTCCTTCAGTAGCAAATTCTACAAGGGTGGGATGCATGTTCTGTCAGTGAAAGGCCAGCCCAGACTCCTGGTTGTAATATGTGGTCCAGTGTGTCAGCTTTTGGCAAAACGAGCTACATTTTGAGCCTTGAAGTATGTGTTGAGAAACCTTAGAGTATCCAGAGTCTAAATCACTCAGGCAAAAACTATTTTAATGATTATTTTATTTTGTGATTATGTGTTTGGTCTAACAGTAAAGAGCTAGGATTGCAGGTAGTGTGATTAATGACCAAGAGCCCTACCCTTGAGCTGGACTCTCCTGAGTGTGAATCTCAGCACTACTGATGGATCAGCTCTCACTATTCATCCTTGTGTTTCATGAGCTTCAGTTTCTTTGGAAAGGAGTGCCTACCTAACTGCAGGATGTGTTAGCACCCAGCACTGCCTAGAATATAGAAAGTGACAGGGAAATGCCAGTCTTGGACTTACAGTCCCACAACTAGACAGACCTGCCTTTTGTACTTCCATGATTTTTATACTTTCTCCCCACTAAAACTTGTCACATTAATTCACCTGACAATTACAATATTATTTAGCTTTTTCATCACTTGAGATTTTTAAAGATACACTCATTTTCCTCTAAAGATATAGCTCAGCTATAAAGGGACTATTCCTATTTCTTTCAATGCCCAGCTACTGTATTTTATTAGTAACTACTTAAATGATCTATGCAGCTGTACACCCACATAACTTCATGGGAGAAAAACATGGTAATCTGCTCTTGTGAATAGTGTAGCCTAGAAAACTCTTATGGAATGGTTCTAGTCTGTGACAGGGAATCACTGTAAATTAGAGTAGACCTGATGGCACCCAGTAACAACTACTCTCAAGTACTGTGGTTTGTATAAGTATGTTTATTGTTGTTGTTGTTGTTAGGTGCGATCAAGTCAAGTACGACTCATAGCAACCCTGTGAACAAAAGATTCGAACCCTGGCCTGTCCTGCACCATCTTCACACTTCCTGACACACAAGAGCCCATTGTAGCAGTTACCTTGTCAATCCACCTGGCTGAGGGCCTTTCTCTCCTTCACTAACCCTCCACCCTTTCCCACATCATGTCCCTCTCCAAAGTTGTTGTTGTTGCTGTTATGTGCCGTTGAGTCACTTGCAACTCATAGCGACCCTATGTACAACAGCCCTAAACTCCGCTCTGTCCTGTGCCAATCACACTGTCTCTGACTCTCCCATCCCCATTATCCCAGTCACTGAATCAATCCACCACATAGAGGGCCTTCCTCTCCTGTGCCGTCCCTCCACCCTCCCAAGCATGATGTCCCTCTCCAAGGACCAGTTTCTCCTCACAACATGTCCAAAGTATGTTAGACGGAGCCTCAGAATCCTTGCCTCCAAGGAGCCACCCGGTTTAACCCTTTCCAGGACAAATCTGTTTGTTTTCCTAGCAGTCCATGGTATTCTCAATACTCTTCTCCAGCAACACAGCTCAAAGGCCTCAATTCTTCTATCCTACTTTGTCATTGTCCAACTCTCTGATGCATAACAGGTGATTGCAAAGACCATTGCCTGTATCAGACGCACCTTAGTCTCCAGAGAGACACCATTGCTCTTCATTACTTTGGAGAGGTCCCTAACAGCAGACTTTCCCATGGCAATGCGCCTTTTGATTTCCTGGCTACTGGTGCCAAGACTGTTGACTATGGAGCCAAGCAAACTAAAGCTGTGTACAATCTCAATCTCTTCACCATCCATCCTAATGCTGCCAATTGGTCCAGTGGTGAGAATCTTTGTCTTCTTGACATTGAGCCTCAATCCATATTGTAGGCTGCAGTCCTTGACCCTCTGCAGCAGGCGCTTCAGGTCCTCTTCAGTTTCAGCAAGCAAGGTGTCATCCACATAACGCAGATTGTTGATAAATCGTCCACCAATCTTGACCCCACGTTTCACCTCATAGAGCCCAGCCTCCCGGATAATTTGTTCTGCATATAGGTTGAAAAGGTATGGAGATAGGATGCATCCCTGGCATACGCCCTTCCCAATTTTGAACCATGCAGTGTTCCCTTGCTCTGTTCTGATGACTGCCTCCTGGTCCAAGTATAAGTTTCGCATTAGAAGGAACTCTCCAAAGTATGTGAGGTAAAACCTCATCATTCTTGCCTAGTATATTGTGTAAGTATGTTTTATGTTTATAGAGTTCTAGGCTTCTCTTTGTTTTAGCTGTAAGAGTAAACTTTCTGTGTCTTTGGGTTTTTGTGGGGTTTTTTTTTGTGTTTTTTTTTTACTGAAGGAAAACTTACTTGTTGTTGGTATCTTTTTTAAATACTGATTTATTTACAAAGTTCAGATACATTGTTTTTCACACAAGATCCTTCCCATTTCCTTCACCCCACCCACCCTTCAAATTGTGAGACCCTATGATTAACAGCACACGCCTCTTGCCCATCCTCATCCCTGTGCTTCCACCTCCTCACACCTTGGATCCTCATGCTCATTCTACATGGTTTTATACAGTATTTGTCCTTCTGTGACTCATTTCACTCAGCATAATGCTCTCTAGTCCCTCCCAAGTTAGGTAATAATTTACAAAATCATTGCTCCTGCGTGCTGTGTAGTATTCCATTGTGTGAATGTACAACAACTTTTCAATCCATTCATTTGTGGTTGGACATGGGCTGTTTCCATGTTCTTACGATGGTGAATAACGCTGCTATGTACTTGCTGCTTCTTAAAAATTAATGTAGATACTTTTCTATATAGAGAGTCCACTTAAAATTCATGTCCAAGAAAGTCTGAAGACATCATGATTACTTAAACATACATGTTTTCAGTGTGAAGTAATTCTTAAGACATGATAATCTCAGTGAGATTTTAACAGTTTTGAGAACATGAAGTTCCTCTCCCATTAGTATCAACTAGTTGTTGTTAGGTACCATCGAGTAAGGACTCACCCATAACTGATCCTCCAGTGGGTTTTCAGGGGCAATTAATAGAAAGGGAGGAGATTGCCCATCTTTCTCCCGCAGAGCAGCTGGTGGATTCAGACCAGTTACTTTTGGGATTGCAGCATAGTTTCTTAACACTAGGGCAGTAGAGCTGAATTTGGAAATCACATCTTGCTCTGAAACTATTTTGTTTGTTTAGTAAACAGTGATGAATTGTAGTCCTTTGGAGTCCTACCAGGCTGAACTATAAGAATATAATCCTTTGCTTTCAGACTTAGTATAATGGGAAAGAATATAATGAGCATTTGGAGTTTTAAAAAGATATCTGCTGTGTCAAGTATATTTATTATATCTTTCAGATCAAGCCCATCAATGAAAGACTGAGAGAGATTAAAGGCTGTAAAATGGTGATAGATGTGATAAAGACTCAGTTTCCTCAGCTGAAGAAAGTGATTCAGTTTGTATGTGGAAATGGCCTTGTCTGTGAGACAGTGGAAGAAGCCAGGCATGTTGCCTTTGGTGGACCGGAAAGGCGCAAAGTAAGAAAAGAGATCGAAGGTGCTCTTTTGTAGAAAACTAATCAGCTAACTTATATAACATAGCATACAAATATTTATGTATAGCAGTATGTGTTTTCTTATGTAAGAAAGACCAGTAATAATGGTTTTATTGGTTCTGTCATTGTTATCTTAGTAATTATTTTTAGTGATTTCTAAGATGGTTATTTTAACAATCTCTGGCCTTGTTTCTCTCACTAAGGCTGTATACAAGTAAGAATCTGTTTGTTTCACATTTTGCATTTCAGTCACCATTTACTATTAATGTATCTTTATTCCATTTTGGCTCAATTTTAAACTTCAGAAGTTGTTTGTTACTTGTTGTTAGGTGCTGTTGAATCTACTGTAACTCATAGTTACCCTGTGAACAATGGATCTGAACCTTGCCTTATCCTGTGTTATCCTCATTATCTCTTATCTACCCAAGCCATTTTTAGTCACTGTGTAAGTCTATCTTGTGATAATCTATAGTGACCCCCCCACCTTGCCAAGTGTAAGAAAGATATCTTTTTCCAAGGAGCAAGGCCCCCTAATAGATCAAAAAGATGGGAAATGAAGCTTCATTGTCCTTACCTCCAAGGAACACCCTGGTTGTGCTTTTTCTCATTATTTTGTCAGTCTCTGAGATACTCATTACCCTTTTCCATCACCACAACTCTGAGGCATCAGTTCTGTCATCCTTAGTCATTGCCCAACTTTCAGATACATAACAAGTAATTGAAACGAACATGGCTTGAATCGGGGTAGTCTTTAAACGGACATCATTGTCTCTTAACACTGTGCAGAGGTCCTTAACAGCAGATTTATCCAATGCAGCACATCTTTTAATTTCTTAACTGCTTGTGTGAAGGGTATTGGTTGTAAATCCAAGCAAGATAAAATTAATAAAAGTCCTAGATTTATTGACATTTGTTTTTCTCCTTTGACTTTGATGGCTGGTTTTTATATTTGGATAATTGTTAATATTATAAGAGCTTTCTTTTTTATTTTATTAATTTTAATGGACATTTACAGAGATTTTGGATTTCCATTCATTCATTGTTGCACTCAGATCTTTCTTGTACTGAACCTAGAATCTATGAAGAGTGTGGCATCAGGATTGATAACCTGCATTATGCAGATGCCACAAATTTGCTTACTGAAAGTCAAGAGGACTTGAAACACTTGTTGCAGAAGATCAAGGAATACAGCCTTCAGTATGGATTGCATCTCAATGTCAAGAAGAGATTCTTACCACTGGACCGATAGGCAACATTATGATAGATGGAGAGAAGATTGATACTGTCAACAGCTTCATCTTGCTTTGATCCACAGTTAACACCCTTGGTACCAGCAGTCAGGAAATAAGGAGACACATTGCACTGGGGAAAAATCTGCAGTTATGGACCTCTCCAGATTATTGAGGAGTAATGGTGTCAGTTTGAGGACTAAGGTGCATCTGGTTTGGGCTTGGTCTTTCTGATTACTTGCTGTGCATCTGAGAGCTGGACAGTGAATAAGGATGATAGAAAAAGAATTGACACTTTTCAGCTGTGGTGTTGGAAAAGAGCTCTGAACAATCCACAGATGACCAAGAGAACAAACATGTCTTGGAGAGGGTGCAGGCAGAGTGCTCCTTGGAGGCAGGAGTGATGAGGCTTCACCTCGTATACTTTGGACATGTTGCTAGGAGGGGCTACTCCTTGGAGAGGGACATGAGTACAACTCACAGTGATGCTTTGAACAATGGATTTGGACCCTTGCTCTATATTGTGCCATCCTTATAATCGCTGTTATACTTGAGCCCATAGTTGTAGTCACTGTGTCAGCCCATCTAGTTGAAGATCTTCCTCTCCTTTGCTGATCCTCTACATTTCTAAGCATAATGTTCTTTTCCAAGGACTAGCTACTTCTAACAATATACCTAAAGTATATGAAATGAAGTTCCACTGTCCTTTCTTTGAAGAAGCAACTTGGTTACACCTTCTCCAAGGCATATTTTTTTTGTTCTTTTGTCAGCCCATGAAGCGTTCAGTGCTCTTCTCCAATACCACAACTCAAAGATGTCAGTGCTTCTTTCATCCTTATTTACTGTCTAGCCTTTAGCTGCACAGCATGTAATTGAAAAGACCAGTGTTTGTCAGTTTGCTGTACTTCAGTGATTTGCCAGTATAAAATACGTGGTGATACTAAAAAAATGTACTTTTCTGATTCATTATCCTGTAGTTAGGTGCCCTCAAGTTGTTTATAATTCATAGCATTCTTGTGAATAACAGATCGGAGCCTTGAAACACATCTTTCACTATCTCTTCCAAGATCAAGTCCTTTGTGGTAGTCACTGTCAATCTGTTTTTTTGAGGGTCTTCCTCTCCCTTACTGACCCTCTACCTTCCCATCACACTACATTTCTCTGAGTACTGACCCCTCCTGACAACTTGCCCAAAGTATATGAGATGAAGTTTCACCATCCTTGCCTTTAAGCAGCACCCTAGTTGGACTTCCTCCAAGGTAGATTTGTTTGTTCTCTTGCAGTCAGTGGAGTATTCAGTACTTTTCACCACACAATTAAAAAGACATCAATTCTCTTTTGGTCTTCTTTATTCATTGTCCAACTTTCTCAGCAAAGCTAGATACATAGGAAGCAGTTGAAAAGACCACGGTTTGGATCGGGCATACCTTAAACTGACATTCTTGCTCTTTAGTACTTTGGATATACCCTTAATAGTAGATTTTCCCAATGCAGAATATCTTGACTGCTGCTCCCATGGGTGTTAATTTTGGATCCCAATAAATTGAACATTTCATTGTATTTTTCTTAGGCACTGTCAAGCTACTGTGACTTACAGCAACCCTGTGAGCCACAGATCTGAAGCTTGCCTTATCCTGCCCCATCATCACAGTCTGTTATACTCAAGCCCATTGTGGTAGTCACTGTGTCGGTCCATTTTGTTGAGGGTCTTCCTCTCTTTTTCTGATATGTCTCCAAGGGTTGATTCCTCCTGAGAATATTCACAAAATAAATTAGACAAAGTTTCCCCGTCTTTGACTCTAAAGGAGCACTCTTTTTAAAAAATTATTTTTAAATTATCATTATTTTGTGTGTACCCTCAAATCAGATCTGACTGTGCAGGAGGAGATTGTCCTTCCTCCGTCGGCAGAGCATCTGGTGGATTTGAACCGTGCAGCTTCTTGCCACTAGGCCACCAGAGCTCGCCTAAGGAGTACTCTTACTGTATTTTCTTCTGTTACTTTTTTTGTTGTATACCATAAAGCAAGGAGTACCAGAGGAATGTCTTTCTGTGTTTCATTGATTATACAAAGGTGTTTGACTGTGTGGATCACAACAAACTGTGGCTGGCTCTGGGAAGAATGGAAATTCCAGAACACTTGATTGTGCTTATGTAAAACCTATACTTGGACCAGGAGGCAGTCATCAGAACAGAGCAAGGAAACACTGCATGGTTCAAAATTGGGAAGGGTATATGTCAAGGATGTGTCCTTTCTCCATACCTTTTCAATCTATAGGCAGAACAGATTATCCGGGAGTCTGAGCTGTATAACAGGAGAAATGTGGCATCAGGATTGGTGGAAGATTCATCAACAATTTGCATTAATGCAGATGACACAACCTTGCTTGCTGAAAACAAGCAGTACCTGAAACACTTGGTGTAGAAGGTCAAGGACTACAGCCTTCAGTATGGATTGAGGCTCAATATCAAGGAAACAAAGATTCTCAGCCCTGGGCCAGTTGGCAGCATAAAATGCATGGTGAAGAGATCGAGATTTTTAACAGCTTTAGTTTGTTTGGCTCCATGATCAACACTCTTGGCACCAGGAGCCAGGAATTTAAAAGATGTACTGAGATGGGAAAGTCAGCTGTTAGGGACCTCTAAACTACTGAAGAGCAGTGATGTCACTTCAGAGACTGAGGTGCACCCAATACAGGCCATGGTCTTTGCAATCACGATATGCAGCAGAGAGCTGGACAATGACTAGGGAGGATAGAAGGAGAATTGATGCCTTTGAGCTGTTGTGTTGGAGAAGAGTATTGAATATACCATGGACTGCTAAGAAAATGAACATGTTCATCCTAGAGAGGGTTAAACTAGGCTGCTTCTTGGATGCAAAGATTCTGAGGCTTTGGCTGACATACTTTGGACATGTTGCAAGGAGGGACCGGTCCTTGGAGAGGGACATCATGCTTGGGAAGGTGGAGGGACAGTGCAGGAGTGGAAGATCCTCAATGAGGTGGTTTGATTTCGTAACTGGGGTAATTGGGGTAGGTGTGTCGTGGACAATAAGATTGGCACAGGATAAAGCAGGGTTTAGAGCTGTTGTACCCAGGACCACAATGAGTCACACATGACTCAATGGCACATAACAACAACGATGAAGACAGAACTGACCCATAGCCTCTGGTGTGTTTTCAGAGGCAGCAAATTGCACAGGAGGAGTTTACTCATTTTTCTCCCATAGAGCAACTGGTGGATTCAAATTGAGTACCTTTGCATTGGTGGTACAATTCCTTACCACTAAGTCCCCTTCCAGACCGATAAGATTCATTGTAATAAAATGTAATTATCGCATCCATTTTACTAAATCAGAGACTAAATTATTTTTTACTCTTTCCATAGACTGAATAGGTGTTATGATAACAGTATATGGAAAGATCTGTTTATGTGCAGCTCTTTAAATGTGGTAGATAAAAATGTCATTACATAGCTGGATGGAGTATTAAAAGACAAATTTTTCCAAAAATTGTACACAGAGACTTAAAAATGGACAGTACAATAAATTTAAATTTGTGGCACTAGGAATATTATTGCTATTGTCAGATATATCTTGGCAGAAATCAGAGAATACCAGAAGAATGTCTATCTGTGTTTCATTCATTACACAAAAGCATTTGTGTGGATTACAGTAAATTGTGGCTAACCTTGAGTAAAATGGGTATCTCAGATCACTTGACTGTGCTTAAACAAAACCTATTCTTGGACCAAGAA